AGTGGGTGGGAGGGCATAGGGACAACGGTGAGGTGGGTGACGGTGCACTGACTAAACCTCTGCACATCTGTGAGCAAGTAGTTTGGAAAACATGAATCAGTCCAACACGCGAAGAATACAAAAGCGAAATCGGTGACTAAAGGTCATGTTCTCGTACATGGGTTTGTGCATCTACTTGAAAACAATTCTGCTTTTGGCTTCGCAAGGGTAAAGTTTGGATTTGTTCATATATTGTAGCTCCTATCTATAAAGGCTTCTGGCTCAAAGTAGCTTTCACTGCTTCCAAAAATAGCTTCCCAAGTGACTGCTGCAAGCCTGAAAAGTATGATCAGGGAAACCTCTCTACTCATGATTAAAATAATCTATTTTTTTAGCAGAGTATTAATTAGAGATCAGAAAGGAAAAATATCACATAGCATTTAGTCACAGGAGGCTGCTAAGCTTCTTGATTCCTTCTCCAGATCTTTTTGCTAACCCTGTGAAATTAGCTAGCAATGCCTGCCTACTTCAAGTGAGCGTGTGAGGATTAATTTGCCAGTAGCTCTACCACCCTTTTAAGACAAAGCACTACTTTGTTTTGCAAAACCATTTTCAGTCTTGTCTTACAGCTCTCTCTCAGCAGCAGCTTAATGGTGCAATTACATTTAAGTCAAAGGAGTAATTTTTTGTAGCCCTATCTAACTACTAAACCAAGATGTGCTAGCGCTCTGCTGTTACTGCCTTCGTGACTTCCTTTAACAGTACGAGTGATCCTGTCTTGATGAGAAACAATTAAAAAGCAATATATTCCTCAGATGTGTTGAGGAAAATACAAGCAGTGTTAATAAATGGCCAGTTTTATTAGGGATGGATCTGTCGGAGCGGGGAGAGTGGTTATGCAGCCACTGATGTGGCCAGGTGGACGTGAACAGGGGGGCTGTGGAGACTGATACCCTCGGTCGCACAGTATATCTGTGTTTGTTCACACCACCGTTACGCTTCATCTTCCTGGGTGTTTTCCAGTGATTGTAACGCATCTTTTACCTGAAGGCACTTCCTGACTTCGGCCAAGGCCAGAGACTGGGCTGTTTTACTCAGCAGAACAAAGACTGTCAGATGCTGCAGCACCGGAGTGGAGGGGAGAGTGGGAATACATAGGAGAGCAGCAAATGGCTGTTCAATAGTGGGAATGGAAGCCAACCCCCCCACTCCTTTATATAACATTAAATAAGGTCTATGCTTATAGGAAGAACTGCTCAGTGAATTGCCACAGCTGCGAGGTTTAGCCTTTCGGGGACCCCCTGCCAGCCTAATAACTTTCACATCACAGCTGATGCTGTGAAAAGGGCAAGTTTTAGCCTTTCTGAAGACTCAAGGAAAAGTGAATGGTATAGCAGCCTAGTGCCTTCCCTAAGCTCACACAAGAACAACAGGAAAGAACTAGGAACAAGACAGGCAGAATTGCAAGTCTCTTACCTTTGGTCAGGCATTTTCGTGTTCATCCTCAGCTACCTGCCGCAGTGCCTGGTCCTGCTGTGCTTTCTCAGCGGGCTTTCTTTTCCCACTTTGCTCAGGAATGTTTGTACCAACGCAGAGAACCGAAGGCATCTCCACATCGGACATCATCACAAGGATCGTCCGGGACTACGACGTGTATGCCCGGCGCAACCTCCAACGAGGATACACCGCCAAAGAGCTGAATGTTAGTTTTATAAATGTAAGTACACCGATCTACGTTTGCTTCTGAAACACTCTCTCATAGGACCCCAAATGTCGAGTAAAGGTTAAAAAAGGATATCTTCCTCCTGCTGCTTTTAAAATAGCTGGGAAGAACTTAATTTAAAAGAAACTGGTAAGCTGAGGGTAGTTTTAATTGCTCCTATTAATTAGCAGCTTCATTTCCATCTTATGCTTTCGTGTTTGTAACAAAGCTGCTGTTCCCCCTTCCACCTTGAGCTGTAGGTGACTAAATAACACACTAGGAAGGAGCTCACCCCCCTGCCGCAAGCTTCTCAGCCACTCATCCAAGACACTGTTTCTTTCTTTATTCCCATTGTGAGAAGGCAGCACAGAGAGCAAAGATTTTGATATCCAAACTTTCTCTACAACACAACAGGACAAAACCCAACAAAAAACCAACTGCTGAGCAGTGAGATTACTAGAGGAAGCTAAAATGGTTTTAAAAGACAAGGAAGCATGTTAGGAAGGTGGTACGTAAATGATGCTGAAGAAATCAGAAGCCACAATAGGTAGGGCAAGAGCACCATTTGAAAGGATGGCTCAAATTATTCAGCTTCCACGTACAGAACTGCACCTTATCCTCCAGTAAGGAGTAAACACTTAACAGAAATGAAAGTTTACTTTCCTTCATTGTCTGCTTCAAGTCTTAATTTAAGGCCTCAAGATAACCCACATTACCAAAATCTTTCCTGTGGTTGGACTGGCTCCCAGGAGGACTTCCCTTCCTTCCCTGGAGCTGGGAAACCCCCTTGCGAAGGACTGAATTGTGTCATTTCATGAGGGTTTTGCTTAGTTGTTTCTTATTTTGAAGTCTGGCAGATAAATCACAGATCACAGGGCATAAATATTTATTTCACCGTGCTTTTTTTTCAGACTTCTACAAAATCTGTAAAAAATTCCTGCTTGTAAGTACTCCATGCAGAAGGATCACTATTGCAAATATCCATTAAATTAAGGCATGCTGGATGCCTTGGGGGTTCTCAAATGTACCCCTTAGAGGCTCCGAGGTGAAGATACTGTTGCGTAAGGTATGCTTCCCCCAGTCTCAAGACACTGATGTATCCTGAAGTCCCTCCTGGCATTTAGTTATTTAGCTTATTGTAATTTAAATGCAGAAATACTAATTTGTACCAGAGGGTGTTTATGTTTCAGATTTCACCGAAACAGAAAAGCTCTGGTTTCCTCGTTAAAGAAAGGCTTGGTCACCTATTAGGTGCAAAGCGAATTCGGTTTCTTTGGACCTTGAGGATTTTGTTGGGCCTTGTGGTTCTTCTAGTGATTCATGAGCTAGAATAAATCTCACCTCAGCCCTACACAGTATTTGCTTTAAAAGTAAATTCAAGTGCCCATTAAATGAAGCTTACAGGAAATTAAAAGCTGATAGTGATCTGTCCTTCTACAGAGACCATTACACCTTCAAGGGCACAGCGTTAGTTAGCTGTGCGTACTGGACGCTTGAGGGGCGCAGAAGCATTTCAGGACAAAAGCCCTTTAACCCTGAAGTGCTTTAGAAGCTTGACCCGATGAGAGCTCCCTAACGTTATCTCCTCTATCCCCCTCTTTTTCTGTGTGACTTAGGAGCTTGCCCTCTTTCCTAGCAAGCCTGCTGGCCACAAGCTGCTGGCCTACGCGCATCTTTTTTGCGGCCAGAAGCTCCTGTACTAGCCAGGCTGGGAGGTGAAGACAGTTTTCCTTCTGCTCTGCAGAAATCCAACCAAAGAGACATTTTGGTCCAAGTTATCATCCAGGCTGGCAAGTCAGCAGTGGGCTGCATTTGCTAGGAAACCCAGGGAAATTTGCCTGTTGCTTAAGTTTGAGCTGTTAATTTCTCCCTCTTATCCTTCACAAGATTCATATAATTTTCAAAGTGCATTCAGTTTGAAAATATGGGAAGAATCATGTAGTGGATTAAACCCAGTAATGTCACAAGACTGTCTTTTCAATATGTGCCTCCTGCACTTCATTCCACAAATGTAAAATCTGCATTTATAGAAATAATGTGGGAATAGTTAACCAATGCCATATGTACTAGGATACATTAATGCAATTTTTTTCTTCTTCTCAATTGTCAATAGCTAATTATTTCCAAATCCCTATATATTAATCTCCATCCATGCTTTTAAAACAGGAGAAGAAATACCGCTTTCAAAACCAAGTGGACAAAATGAAAGAAAAAGTTAAGAATGTGGAGGAAAAATCGAAGGAATTTGTTTACAAGGTGGAAGAGAAGAGTCATGACCTTATTCAGAAGTGGGAAGAAAAGTCCAGGGAATTTATTGGCAACTTTTTAGAGCTGTTTGGACCAGACGGAGCCTGGGTAGGTATTTTGCCATCCCAAGAAATCTGAGTGGTTTTTATTTATCTGCCGTAACGCAGATCAAGAGCAGATTCTTTAGCTGCAGTCTTTGTTTTGAAAGCCAGCACAGTGGGATAACGCCAATCCAATCACCCCTGCCAATACTGCAGCAGGAGGATTTGCCACTTCTGGCTGTTGCTTCTTTGTGATAATTTCTTTGGGATAACGTCTTTTGTGAAGGTGCGATACTGAATGTGATACGGTATTCAGTAGAGCTGCATAACAGCAACACGTGAGCAAACAGGCGAATACAGTCTATTCTCCCCATTAGCACTCAGTGGGACCACAGTGACATCAGGGAGAAACTATATGCTGGAGGTGGTGAGGGAAACAGGGACACTGAAAAGTTTTTCAGTAGTTCTTTTCGTGCTCTGTACGCAGCAGCAGCAGTCTGTTTTCTAACTTGAAAACCTACTGATGTAAAGTTCCAGGAAATGACTTCACAGGTTGAGTGGCCAGGCTCACCTGACTGACTGCAGGGAAGTCTCGGGCAGAACTGAAGCACTGCTGAAGCTCTCCTCAGTACGTGCTGGCTCCACAGCGCCCACTTACCAAAGGTCCCCAGGTGCAACTCCACCCATCAGGGGAGAAACCCCAGGGCCTTACCTGCTCAAACCAACGGCACGCGCTGAGCAGGTAGTGAGTTGGTGATACTTCAGAGCCCCCGAAGAGTCCTGGCCCCCATCTTTCAGTTCTGATAGCTTGCCAAACCTTGCTTTATTTTCTTGTACTACTTCCCTTTGCTACGTTGAAACCAGTAGCAAAACTTATCGTGAATGCAAAAGTTATTTGTTTGAACAGACCTTCTTAGACCTTCCCCTTGGGAGTCAGTCCTTTTCCAACAAGCTCTCTGTGCAGCTGTCTTCCAGTGAAAGCCCACACCCCAGCCAGGCACTTGAGTACAGGCATCATCTTGGACGTGCTGCTCTGGTTGCAAGCTCTGAGCGAAGCTTTTGCTCGGTTCGAGGAAACGTGAGCAAGCACGGAGGAGAGCAGCAAGCCAGAAAGAACAGTTTAGGACTAGCATGAAGCAGATACTACTGGAATATTTTTAAAGAGCCAACACACACGTAATGTTCTCTCACGTCACTTTTATCAGTCCATACCTGAGCAACTTCCCATCATGAACAGTACATGCTGTTGAAAGGATCTCAGCAAAGTTTTTGTTTATAAACAAACCCTCAGGAAGATTCACAGACCCCTGGTGAATTAGCCCACGTCACAACTCAGTGCCACCAAAGCAGATAGTAGCTCCCTCTTACTGGAGTTCCCACCTCTTCTCTGCCATCATTTGCTGTGTTGATTACCACTCAGTTGAGCAAAGCCTAAAATTAGGCTGTGAAGGCTTCAGAACAGAGACTGCATCTTTATAATCTCCTTACAGCTACGTCTGTCACGTGTCTGATACGTCTGTCACGTGTCTGAACAACACTGGTCCCAGCCATATAAACACATAGCTTCTTTAGCAATTTGTTCATTGACAGTATCATTTTCCTTGAGGAGGGGAAGAGGGGAACTGATGAAAAGCCCAGGTTTACCCACATTGACCACATCCACGAGGAGTCCTTCATCTGCAGGTTATTCTCCACAGAGCTTGGCAAGTGCTCCCCACATGGGATGGTCTGTGGCCATAGGTGCTGAATAAATAAAGCAAATGCTAACAGAGCATGTGAAACCCACAGGAGGTGGGGTGAGATTGGCTGTGCAGAGAGAGGAAAAGAATTTCAAAGCCTTGATCCCATTCCCTGGCATTACCCACTCAACACTGCAAACTCATGGCATTTTTAAAAACCCTTTGCTGATAAAATATTTTACCAAATTTGAGTAGAGAAAAAGCTGTTCTGCAAAGGTATTTGAGGGAGCGAAGGTGGCCTCCTGTTTACTGAGTTAGTGTCCCAACCACAAAGTAGGAAATCTGGTGCAACCACAGAGACCTTTGCTAAGAATAAGAGTGAACTCTTGCAGTGTTGTAGGAAAAGCGTCGGTGACAATGAGCCAAGAGCAGTTGTGGCTTTTTTAAAATTAGTTTGAGCCTTGCAACAGGAAAGACTTTTCAAATAATGATAACTTGCTATTAGTGTCAAAACTGTTATTAACGTTAATTTGCCTTATCACTGTTAGTTAGATGTTGCTTTTAATGTTGACATTAAAAGTACAGAAATCGTTATGGGCATGCTAGATTCCTAGATCAGTAATTTGCATGCCATTAATATGCTATTATTATTTCACAAATAATTATTATAATACGCTTTATGCAAGCATCAATTTTCTAAAAGTAAGGGCTATGTAACCCACAAAAAAATGCCTGTGTGTGAAAAAGGTCAAAATGGCAGTTTTCAAATGTCAAGAAGTCTACAATTCATTGGCAATTTTGCCCACCTGTGCAATCCCCATATGTATTTTTTTCCCGCAAGAGAGTCACAGAGGCGTCAGAAACAACGATTAATGTGGCATGAAACTTTTGTCCTGGCGTGAGAGGAGACCACCGCGCAGCCCGGCACAGAGGCCCTAATGGCAGAGATGCAGCTCCACAGACAGGGAAAGCAGCAGGGTTCATTCCACCTTCTCTCAGACACGTACGAGCAGGGAGCTGCACTTCAGGTCAGTGGAGAGAAAGCAAGCCTGACAGGGCAGGGTTTCTGTGCCCGTCTCCCTCTCGGAGGAGAGGGGGTGTCCCTTCAAAGGGGCTGCGTCCCTCGACTCAGCATACAGAGGGAGTTGGGGATGGTGGCTCTGGGAAGCAGCTGCGCCACTGCTGATGTCCACAGAGGCTCAGAGGAATCTTACAGGTTGCGACTGGAAGCCAGGGCCGGCATTCAGTCCACACCGTGTCCCCGCAGCCTGGACCTGAGTTTGGCCTTGAAAGAATCAGCAGCTGAAAAGCAGCAGTCCCCCATAACGCCAACTAGCACTTGTTTTGTAAACCAAAGGAGTATCAACATGTAGGCAAGAAAATTCAGAAATAGGCAAAACATTTCCACCCAGTCGTAAGTTTGCCAAAAGCAAAACGTTATCTCCATAAACCGTTCGGGTGCACCCGAACTTGGGTGAACCAAGGCTTTGAAATTCTTTTCCTGCCTCTGGTAAAGGCCCAGAGCCTGCCCAGCCTTGTCTAACCTGCTGGCACTTCAAAGAAGCCATTAGCAGTTGTGTCCTTCAGCATCCAAGGGTCCAAGGAGGACCCTTGTTAGGAAGCCCTTGCCTAGGAAGGGCATGACTCACTGACCCTGCTAGAGCACAGCTGGAGGGGAAGAGTCATTCTGGGGGCGGGTGAATTACACCTCCCTTCTCCTCCTCCTGCAGCAGGTGTGATTTTAGCCAGTGACCTGGTGGTTAAAGCACTAAGGCAGGAGGCACTTGGACCAGCCAGGCACTTACCCTGCTGAAGGTGTGAGTGCACCAGCTTCTTCAGGCAGGAAGCTCCTTGCTGAAGCAGGGACCGGGAAGCAGGTGTCCTACTGCCTGGCTGGGGGCCTTAGCGGGAAGGGGGGAGTCTCCTTTCCATCCCTGGCCCACGTGGCCCAAGGTGCAGTCAGGTACCCCCATGACATGGGATACCAGCCACACTGGGCCACTTCCGACTCCCCCAGCACTGGTAGCACACCTCCCTGAAGCACTGCGGTGTCACTGAGCTTTCTGAAGTGGCTGGTAAGGTAGCAGGGACAGGAGGGAGTCAAAGTGTTTTGCTTGGCCACGAAAAAGATATTACATATCAAACAATTTTTTGTTTTGTTTTGTTTTTGTTGGGGTTTATCTTCAGTGAGAGGATAAGTCAAGTCAACAGAACCCCACTTTCTGAGATCTAAAGAGAAATGTTGCACTCCTACCACCAAATTTCAACAGGCTCTGGGGCTTTGCCAGCCCTGGTGACATCTTCACAGCTCCCAGCAGCAGAAACCCTCCCCCACCCAAATGCTTCCTGGCACTGTTTATCAGGAGCAACCACCATCTGCTAACTATTGGGATTTTAGGGAGTCTTGAGTATTTTGGACCTGGCAGTAGTGCAGGGGTAGGTTACACACCACAGCTCTTTATGCAGGAGAGGATGACTAAGCGCGGCTCCAGGCAGGAACTGTTCTGTCGTTCTGCACTGCAGCGACATCCAGGCTCTAAACCTGAGTTAATAAAGGCCAATGTAATTAAGATAGAAACTGGGTGAGGGAGCTCACTGAGGAACCGTTAAGTTTGGTATTTGTGCTCGGCTGTTAACCCCCAGGATTAGCAAACACCAGAAACCTGATGGGAAAACCTAGCATCTGCCCCTCCACTGGCAGAAAATACTGAGCTTCAAAGAGGGAGAGGAAGAGCAAAACGGGCAGCCACACGCTCCTTGGCTGGAAGGAAGGTCATTACAGAGCAGAGTTGCTGCAGGGGGAAGGGAAGGAGAAGCAAAACAAAAGCTCAAGCTGAAAAAGTCTGCAGACTGCAGCTGCCTAGGCAGGCAAACCCAGAATACATTCTGCACAAGTATTTTGCTCTCAGACGTCAGTGGCAACATAACTTTGTCCGGGCTGCCTCTTCTGTTCCAGCCGAGCATCGCCTACGATCCAACCCCCAGTACTCCGGGCAAGGTTAAAACTTCATGTTCCCCACCCGCAGGAGGGGCAGTGAGGCACTCGCATTTGGCATTTTCCACATGAAGCCCACAGCAGTCACACAGTAGACGCCAGATCTCCTGTAACCCAGCCCTGCAGCCTAATGCAAGGCCACGTAGGCACTAACAAGTAGCAGCATTTGCCTTAGTGTGGCAGATTGCTTGACTGAAAAGGTGGTCTCTTCCACCCCACCAGTTCTGGCAGGCCTCCTCTCAGCTTTACAAAGCAAAAATGACAATAAAGCCCAAAGCAGAACATAGAGCCTCCACCTGTTTCTTTTTTTCAACAGACACCTGAATTCTGACATTCCCACCAGCAATTCAAGGGTTTGGGTGGTGCCTACTCCAGGGAGCTGGAGAAGTGGCTGCCCGTATTTGGCTGGCACTGGGCTGCCTCCCTTCAGGGGGGACAGGAGGAAAAAAAAGGCTGGGCCAGCCAGGAAGCTCAGGAGATGAGTGGTCATGCTAAAAGGAAAAGGTCCTGGGAACAAGGAACATTGGGAGTTCAGGCAGAAAACTGACTTTTTGAGACAGAGTGTGATAAACATATACAAAAAATCCAAAGGGAGTTCCCCCTGGCTGGCTTAGGACAACACACACAGTATTCGCACACTGGGGGTGTCCGATCTAAGAGAAAACCTTGGCATGTAAAAAACGGGTTGTTACGAGCGCAGCAGAAGAGGCAAAGGCTGACCATGGGCTGAACGGGCCATGCCTCAGAGCAGAAGCCCTTGCTTGCCCACAGACATACTTTCTCCTCTGTGCTTTACTCAAAGGGCATCTTTTCACTTTGCTTTTGCAGAAGCAGATGTTCCAGGAACGAAGTGGCCGAATGCTCCAGGCTTTTTCTCCCCGGCAGAGCCCAAACAGCAGCCCCACACGAGGCCGCTCTCCATCCCGTTCTCCATCTCCACCCTGGGTCTTCAATAAAGCCTCCCCTCCCTCTTCTCCAAAAGCTGCCTCTGCCTCCCTCAGCAGCATGAGCGAGGGAGACGAGGATGAAAAGTAAAATATATATTTTTTTAACCATGAGACAGAAGAACAAACTATGAACTCAACCGCTGGATGGGGAGAAGTGTGAGGAACATCTGGGGTATCTCTGACAGCAGGGAACGTGCTCTGGGAGAAGATGCTGAAAACAAACTGGAGCACAGTAAGGAAGATCTCAGGAAGAGCTTATCCCATCCCCACTCCCTTGCGGTGCCTGGAGGCTCGGCCGGCAGCGCTTGCCAGACATGGTACCAGGGACTGACAGAAAACACGTACGCCTCTGTGCAAGTTCCTGCCCCTGCGTTGCTGCTTATGGCTGCTGTGACCAGGCCGGCTTGGCAAGGAACTCTGCACCAAGTGGGGCTGGCAGGAGGAGCCCGGCTGGCTCCCATCTGGACCCAGCACACTGGCACACGATGGCTGCAGCCCATGGATGAAGAAGATGCGGTTGTATTGGCCCCTGCTAACCTTGAGCTCTTCTGGCACGTGAAGAAATGGCATCACTGCAGTGAATACATTCAGAAACAGGAAATAAAATTTTACTTTTTTTCTTTTTGAATGAAATCTGCCCCAGACCCCAAACCACGCCAGTGAAATGGAGAGCTCTCCATCTGAGTTGGTGGAAATCCATTTAATATATTCAAGCTATTGAATGCTGCTTGTTGACCAAGCCTCTGTCCAGGGTGTATGTAAAGTCAGGCTGTATTTGCTCTATCGAATCGCTCTGTGTTCCTAGTGCCTGAACAGCTACCAGATAACTTCTGTTCTGCTCCCTGGTTTTGCACTTTGGCGGCAAGAAAGTAAATGAAAAGATGGCCCTAGCTGGAATGTGGTGTTGTAGGAAATAGAATTCACCAGTAAAAATCACCAACATCTTCAAACTATCTAAAACACACACGTGGGATCCCAAGGCCTTGGGATGTGGTCTCCTAGGAAACCCTGCTGCTCCCTGCTATGTGTCGCCAAAGGATGAGCACAACAGTGCTGTTGTCCTCACATGCTACTCAGCTGGTTAAACAAATTTCTCATCTAACTCTAAACAAGATGTGTTCACAGACACCCAGCCCCCGCAGGGGTCCCGAGGCCAATCCTCTGCCCCAAAGCAGAGAAAAAGTTGGAAAAAAGCAATGGAAACCTTTAAAACAGGATTAGGCACCTGTCCGGAACCACAGAAATGGTAGCACGAGCGAAGCTTTCCCTCCTCGATGTGCTAGCTGATCTCCTTCAGGCTTGGCAAAGCAAGACCTGCCTGACATCTGGATCCCCCGTTCAGTCACGCAGCTGGCACCTGGTGAGGTGGCCACAGACTTGCAGGGTTTCTGAGTGTGGGGTACCCCCAGCCCCCAAGGCTGCCCTGCCCCACAACCCAGAAACACCCAGCCTGCATCACTGTGGTAGGGCTGCAATTTTGCTCCCAGGCCACGTGCACGGGCACACTGGAGGTTCCCCAGATCGCCACCAACTTTGGTGCCCGGCCAGCGAGGTAAAGGGTGCTGCCGCCTGCCCGTCCCAGTGACAGCACGCCGGGTACAGACCCTGGGCAGCCTGGGCAGGGGATTGCAGCAGCAAAGTCGCCGCTGTGCCACTGCTCCCTGGAGGTGCAGACCCATCAGGCAGCACCGGTCAGCACTTTGCTGGTTCCCCGTGCAGGAAACACCCCCAGGAGATGGAGGGCTCTGAGCAGCTCTTGGAACAGCAAAGTGAGAAGGAACAAGACGCCCGAGCGCTTGAGCAGATGGGTAGTAGTACCTCTGGCAGCAGGCCCCAGCAGGCCACCATCCTTACCTCGCCGAGTGACCTAGTAGGTAAACTCCCTTCACTCCTTCCCTTCCAGATACTCTTGCAGGCAGGTAGGTACAGACTCTCATACCAGGCACCAGATTAGCCCCACGCTCTGTTCATTCCCTGCAGCTTTCATCCCTCCCCCACTACGGGGTGACCGATTTTCCTTAGGGAACACTTTGCCAGACTCTGACTACCACAAGACTGAGTACATAATATCCCGTGGCATACTTTGTCCTCTGGAGTCAACCTAGTTCCCTTTTCACAGAGCTGCAAAGAGAGATGAGCGGGGAACAGAGCGAACCGCCGCTTTCGCTAGTAAGTGCCAGGGGAGAGCCAGAGCGAGCTCAGCTGCCGCCAGCTGTGCGCCCCATGGGACGATGCAATTCAGACCTTTCTCAGCCTTAGGCAACCTGTTACTGTAATTTCATACCTGGGATGCACTTGTTAGTTTTTCTGATCCTTTGCAAGTCTTAAGTCTTCCCATCACAAACCACTCCACCACCACGGGAACCGTCTGCTCTCTACTGGTGCTGTTTACACGATGAGCCATGTCCAAATGCAATGGAGGTGGGTAGGTTTTTGTTGTTCCTGGCTTTTACCATTTGTTTTTTTATTAAACTAAACAACATCATGCTTACTGTTCAGCAGCCCTTGTTCAGCGGTTTGAATGGAAGACAGCACCTCACCTTGTAAACAGGAACTGGAGAAATACTCACCAGTGACGACTTCTTAAGAGAAGCTGTTCCTCAGAGTCACAGGTGGCTACCCAGTGACAAAGCCATATGCTGTACCAGGCGTCCTTTTGTATTTAGGGTATCAATAAGCTGAAGCCTTTGCCCTGCTGGTACAGACACCAATATCCACATGCTGTCTCCGGCAAACCAGAACCTCATTGTCTCTGGACACGGGGAGGGCAATTTTGCACTTCTGAGTCATGGTTGGGTTTTATTTTTCATGAGTGTTGCTTTAAGTCCTATTTATCAGCCAAGCTCCACATGAAAAATAAACAGTGTACAACAGATACTGCTGCCTCTCACCGTCATTTTACAGCGCCTCTGAACACACAAACCCAACACCTAACGTAAAGCTCCACTGATAGCACAGCACTTGTTACCTCTGTCCTTTATACCCCAGTACAAAGCATCCATCCTTGCGCCCCCACAAATGCCACCAGAGCAGCCTCTGCAACCTGCCCAAAATCCTGCTGCTCTCTGCTCCCACAGCATGACCCCTCACCTCCCCTTCACTTGGATTGCTCTCTGCAGAGGCAGGGACAGGCTGCCTCAGCTGACAAGGCGCAGTGTTAGGCACTAGCAAGTTGGTGGCCTCCCTTCCCCTCCACCCCAGCGCAACGGAATCGGGAGCTGCTGTTTTAATTCCTACTTCTAGATGGAAGAAAGAGGCAGTGCTTTTGTAACCATCCTGGTTCTGCTTCTGAAAACCATCCCCAGCAGCAGGAGCAGCAGCTGTGATGCTCCTGAGTGTGCCAGGATGGCTTGCAGCTGTGCCAGGTTTATGCAGCAGCAAACATTAGCCACAGGGACAACTCCTGACTCTGGCCTTGACTCTTCCTCCAGCTAAGTCAGTCTGATGCCTGAGTGTTCCTGCTGTGCTCTTCCCCTTTTGTCTTTTCTGTAAGAAAGAAATTATCGCTGCACCAGCTGTAGAAAAAAAAATTCTTTTACATTATTTATTTATTGGTAGCCCTGCCTCAGGCAGGGAGAAGCTGAACCAGCAGGCAGGGACTTCGGACTTTCCAGTGAAGGTATTTTTAACTGCAGAATGGGAACAGATTTCAAAGCCATTTGGCATGGGAGAGAAAGCATTTAAAGATGCACAGTCCACACCAAAATGCTCCCTGCTAATACAAGCTTTATTACTTCAGACTGATTTGGGGCTGTTTGGAGCAGTGTCTTGCATCCCTTGGGAGATACAAGACACCCTCGTACACTCCCAGGACCAGGAAAGTCAGCCCGGCTGTGGTCCTGCTTCTCTTCCCACTGAGCTGCCTCACAGCCCCGCGGAGAGGAACCACCTCTGGCTGACGCCTCCCACAGTCTGACTGCCTGGAAGGTGCTGGTTTTGCACACACATACGCTTGTGCGGCCGACAGTGCTCCGGGAAGGGACGCCGGGGGCTCTCCTTCACAAGGGCCTGATCTAAACCCAGGGACAACATGAGCCACCGCTGAGCCGGGCCCACCCAGGCAAGGAGACACAAAGCAAGAGCTGCAGCACCCTGTGGGAGCGTCTGCCTCTACTGCAAGCAAGCACTGAGTTAAGTTTGGAACAAATTTTAAATCCAGTAGTCTGAACTGAAAAGCATTTTTAATTTTTCAGCTGGGATTTCATTGCACCATAGAAACCCTGAAAACACTAGCAAAGAGCATGACTGGAAGCAGTCAGAAAGTCTCTGCTGTGAGTTCATGTGAGTTTATGTAAAACAGGAGAAGGTTTGAAACGTGGGTGCAGAAGCAGA